CCAGTTGAGAGACGTGGCTCTCAAAGAAATACAGATTCAGATTAGCGAGAGGAAAGAGATAAACAAGGCAGAGCGATGAAAGAGCAGTGAACGCGAGATACAGATGTCTTGAGATGAGAGAGACGAACGAGACAGAGGTACGGATCGGTGATCACGCGTACAGACGTTGTGTTGTCGGGACCTCGTGATGTCACGTGGCCCACCAGCACACGCCAATTCTACTTTGTATCCCACCAGAAAATATAGTTTCAGGAGAACCCTGTTGTACATCATGTGATGCCAATTTTTTTCTTTCACGTTGGCCATTTATACCGGCACAACACAACACCCCTGGACAAAGGGGCACACATAGCGACGTATAATGTGGTCCTGTAAATTCATATTAATCTTGACAAGTGTTGGCCACTGCAATACAATCGGAGAATATGTTTATGTGTCGGTGTGGGTGAAGAATGCACAGCGGTGGTTGCGGTGGTTAGCGCACCGAGTTACGAACCCACTTCAAGCTGAGGTTGATTCCCAGCCACGGCTAACGTCAGTGGCGAGTGATGTCAGGACTGGTCCTGGGCCTCCCCTAAGTTGACTTAGCCTAAAATGTGTAATTGGTGTGATGTGTAAACAACAGAGCTGGAGAGACGAAGGCAGCCAGGTGTGGAAGTTGTTTGGTCATGCTTCTTTTTGTTGTTGTGGCTTTAATGTAACAAAATGTGGGCGCCTTGCAGCGTGATGCAAGACTCGCTCAACCCGGCATCTCAGTTCACGAGCAACAGTCCCGACGCAACTGAAGCATATCAAATAAGGGGGGTGCGGTGAAAGATATGGAAAGGAGCCCGCTGCCCCAGCTTTGTTTGACTATACTTCACCACGGCGGTCAATGCGAGTTGGTGATGGGAGGAAGGGGAAAGGGCACGTCACTCGCCAACGATGTTAGCCGTGGCCGGGAATCAAACTCAGGTCGCTGGGTTTATGGCGCAGTGCGTGAACCGGCATGCCTCGTCTCCACCCCAGGCATTTCATAATAAATCGGTATTGCTGCCAAATCGCAGGCTGTTGGCACAGCTATAGACATCATGTACTAACTTTATGTGTACAATGGCATTTTTTATTATATATATCTTTTTTATTGTGCCGACTTTTTTTTACTTTCGGTGATGTCAATGCATATTTATATATGTGTGCACGCGTTTGAATCCATTTGCTTTTTATTATTTTTGCGTTAAGTGTAAATCGAGCCTATTTAAGGGGGCTCTGTTGTTTACAGCCAATAACACTTTTATAATGGGCGATTATAATTAAACTCTGGAAATATGGGAGCACAATAGACCACTTTTTTTAAGTGTTGTTAGATCATGGGACATTACTTGAAATGGTAAATAATTGTTATGTCATGGGAAATGTGTTGTTTCCCTCACATTTCTCCACACAAGTCTCAAACCAGCAAAGGAGAAAGCATACTTTTAGAAAACATTCTAAACGGTTCAACATATCTTTCGAACTGATTACACGTCTTTCAAACTTATTTTTGTCTTCAGTTCCTCCGGTTGGCTACGTACGATGCGAAAGATGTTCAACATACACACTCGTGCAGAGAGCATCCTTGATCTCCTCACTCACAGGAAATCAATCAATAGTGAATACATCATTACATTTTGACTAAAAATTTTCATGACTGCAGGAATTGAAATTCTCGTTTCTTTCGGTAAAGTCACGTAGATAGAAAATAAAATAACAGAAAATAAAATTAAAAAATAAAATAATACATTGAAAATAATAAAAGCAAAAAACCCAAGACGTTTCGATCGCAACAAAGGCGGTTTTCATCAGGCGGTTTTCATCAAGCGAATGAAGACCGCTTGTGTTGCGATCGAAACGTCGTGGGTTTTTTGCTTTTATTATTTTCAATTTATTTTATTTTATCATCAGTCATTTTTATTTCATTTTCTGTCTAAGTGACTTTACCGAAAGAACCAAGAATATGAATTCATCATCATCATCATCACCATGTGGGACAACGATAAACATCCCACCACCTGCAACCCCATTGGCCCCTTGAGGCTGTTGGTGAAAGTGCTGTTCGTGAGCACCGGTGGAGACCCTGATGGGACGGCGTGGCCAGAACCACGCACGGTCCACCATCATCTCTCACCACCAGTGTCACCGTGTGACCTACGGGTGACCTTCGAAATTATTCATATATTCGTCCCGGACGTTGCGCTTAAGAGGAAATCGCATTCAGGTCACCGGGTTCGTAGCGCAAGTTCGCCTAGCCACTCCACTACCACTACCCCCCCCCCACACACACACTCTCTCACACGCAATATGTCTACACATTATCTTAATTTGAATCGGAGCTGGCCACATCACGTGGAGCTATCGTTTAGCATGAATAATAATGAGGACGCTGTGCAGCAGTGTAACGACTAATTTTGTACTTGAGCAGAGGAGATTGGTACACATAGAGAGGACGTACGGTGTGGGCACACGAAACCCGTGGTTTGTCATCCGTCGGTGGAATGTCTGACCCTTGTGGTTTGGCAAGCAAAGACACGAGTCGTGTTAAATTTCCCAGGCTTGCCGACAGACCATTGTGGTTTGTTTTTATTGCTCCGACGCGTTCCCGTTGTCGAACCGCGTGCTGTCAGACGTGCCGGGGGGACGTCGTTAAAAAACAAAAACAACCTTTCGAGCAAACATCGGGGATACCGTGGGGGACAACTTCGTCGTCGTCGGCGTTGTTGTTGTTGTCGTTGTTGTTGTTGTTGTTGCCGTCCACCCAAACGCATCAAGAAGATCGCAAGGGCTTGTGGACGCCGTCCACGTTGTTGTGTCTTGCGTTCGCTACTTCTATTTAAAGCTTTCGTGACTGCAGGGATTCATCTTCCTGGTTCTTTCGGTAAAGTCACGTAGAAGGGAAATAATAAAATAATAAAAATAAAACATAATAAAATAATTCTCACGACGTTTCGGCCACAACGCAAACAGCCGTCCTCAGGTGAAGAACAGGTCTGTCAGAAATACGCTGTCTGTTGTGGCCGAAACGTCGTGAGAACTATTTTATTTTGTTTTATTTTTTTATTTTTTTATTTCCCTTCTACGTGACTTTACCGAAAGAACCATGAAGATTCGCTACTTCTGTTTTCCATATGCTCCCCCACGCACTGCTGGAACCTCTTAAAGTTTACACAAAACAATTTTAATACATGTATTGGGTTATTCATGTTGTTGTTTTGCACTGGAGGGATGCTTTTACCATTTTCTCGCTGGGGCATGTCACGACAGAAAACGAACTTTGTTCCGTCCGCTCCATTAAGCAATTCACAATGCACAAAGTGTCACGTGAAACATTTCCTGCACTTGCGTGGCAGATTCTCCGCAAAGGTTAAAATGTTTGAAGTGTCTTTGAGAGTCGAAGAGTTAACTTTTGCTCTACGCATTGCGTGCTGTTGCCCCCCCCTAAAAAAACCACTCCACCACCCACAAGCCCCCCCCCCCCCCACCACTATTCATTTGATTAATTACATCCCTGACCAACGAGAGACCGCGCTTGTTCAAGAGAGACAATGCCGCTTTCTTGAGTGCACATGTTTGTGCCTGTGCTATTCGTGTAATCGTTCATTTATATATTTAAAAAAATAGGACGGAACATTAGCCGAGCGGCTTTTGACGATTTAAAATAAACACGCGGGCGGGCAAGTTGTCACCACTTCGCTTATTTTATGCACGAGATAATAAATAAGCAATAACACTTTACATTTTTTTTACAGCGCTTTGTCGATCCATTGCTGCAGGCAGTGCGTGTTGCTCATGTATGTACGAATGTTGAACTTCTTTCGGACCGTACGTAGCCAACCGCGCTAATCGGAGGTGCGGGGGGTAAGGACAACAAACTGAACCCAAAAGCAGTTCTAAAGAAATAAGTTTTCAATCGAGATATGAAAGTGCATCGCTCCAAATATCGGAAGAAAGAGCGTTCCAGACGGCCCCAGAAGCGCACCTGAGAGCGCGCGATGCAGTGGCCGTCCTTGTTTGATGGCCAGCCAAACGCTGCTGCGAGGATGACCGGAGTTCACGTGATCATGTATGCTCCTTAACGAGATCAGCGTTATTTGACAATACTTCACCACTGCCGGTCAGTGTGGGTTGGTGAACGCTGGCGGAGGGGGGGAGGCAGCCAGAACCGGTTAAGACGTCACCACCGGTCACATTAGGAGCAGTCCATAAATGACGTCACGCACCTGGGGGGGAGGGAGTCAGACATTTGTGACAATGTGTGACGGGGGGGGGAGACTTTTTAATAAATGTTTTCTCCAACATCAGAGTGCAGCACCACATTAAATACGCACTACAATGACAATAGTTTAAAGCGATTTGAAGCATGTTTTTTGGGGGGGGGGGGGCAGAACTTTGTGACGTCATATTTGAGGGGGGTCTGACTTTTTGTGACGCCGTGTGACGAATGGGGGGGGGGGGGGGGGTCAAAAATCGTCCAAAATCGCGTGACGTCATTTATTGACGGCCCCTTAGGCGCGGCGAGGACTCAAGCTCAGGTCGCCAACTCTTCATAGCGCAGTGCCCAACATCTGCCACCCCTCTGTCTCTGTCACGCACCCATCCAAACGGTGCTTGCCCTAGCGGTCTACGCGGGAGAAATCTTCCTCTTTGCGCCTACTGGCGTGCGTGCACGCGCGTGCACGAACAACGGTCACAGCTTTCGGAAGGAGCGGCCGGGTTTGCGTCTCTTCGTATTCATCTGGGGACACTATTTGTGTACAGAATTCCTGGAGGATAGGACAAAAGAAAACCCCCACCACGGCTCTCGAAGCCTCTTCTCCGATGAGATGAAAAGCTTACGCGGAGGCGTACGTCCGTCAGGTTGCGCGCGTCTGGGTGCGCACGTGTCATGTTTCCCCCGCCCCCCTACTAGACATCTGTGAAACAAGAGCTTCATAGCTCATCGGATTCCCCCAGTCTAAATAAAGATTGTGATTGTGATTCATCAGTACATGCGCTTCCTGGAGGACCTGGGCCGGCGGCTCAAGGTGGAGGAGCTGGGAGTGGACGTGGGCTTGGACCTGCAGTTGGAGGCAATGCTGGCGCGGGCCGACCACCTCGCCAAGCTGGAGTGTGACTCCACAGCCGACGGAAAGACTCTGCTCTACAGCCTGCAGCGCAAGGTGTCTGTCTGCTTGACGCGCAGCGGCAGTCGGTTTCCGCGACCAATGTTATTCATGGTTAAGATGTTTTTTTTCTGGGTTAGATCGCGTAAATATGAACGTGTAATTAACCCACCATCGCCCGACACAGCGAATCAGTAAGGTTTGTCACGTCATCAAAACGTGCCGATTCGTTACTGGTTCAGCACTAATTGGCTGTGTCGGGTGGTGGTGGGTTCACGACACATTCACATTTACGCGATCTAACCGAGGAGAAAAAAAACGTTTGCGTGGCTGTGGTGCTGGTAGCCCATGGTGATGATCGTGACGGTGGTCGCGACGACGTGATGATCGTGACGGTGGTCGCGATGAGGTGATGATCGTCACGTGACGGTGGTCGTGACGACGTGATGATCGTGAGATGTTCACCTGGGCCATAGGAGGGCAGTGGAGGAAGGGGAGTGGGTGGGTGGGGGGCAAAATATTTGCCACAACTACTCACATTTTTTAGATGGAGAGCGTTTTTGAGATTTCTCATGAATGTGAAATTGTGAGAATGTGAAATTGTGGATAATTAGTTTACAATTGTGTCGTTGCATGTTTATGTTCAGGTGCGTGTAATATCACGTAATGAAAACCAAAACTATCGACTTTATTACAGTGTACACGATTTGTCCCCCTCTGATGATTTTCAGCTCAGTGCACCGCTGCTGATGACATCGTGATGATGATGATTGTGTAAGAATTCGTAAACAAAAACATCACTTGGAATTTTTTTATGACGATGGTGATTATAACGATAATAACGATATCCAACTGTTTCACCAAACAATAAGACGCAGATTTCCCCCCCCCCCCTCGCAAATACTCTGCCCATGTTTACATACCTCACCAGATACTGATTTAAGGCTACCTAGGGGAGACTCAGGAACATTTCAGATAATCACCACTGACTTTAGCCGTGGACGAGAATGGCACTCTGACGAATGGTGACTGCCTTCGTGTAGTACTCGCTTTAACAGACTGTTGGCGCAAGTGCTATTAGCGAGCACCAATGAAGGTTGGCACGGCACACGAGGAGGTGGGTGGCCAGCACCACGTCCGCCCGCCTTTGTCTCCCCAGTGCTGATGTTTACACACCACACTCATTAAAGAATGAGTCGACCTACGGGAGGCCCAGGGCCAGTGCGGATAATCTCCACTGTGTTGGTCGTAAGCAGGAATCGAATTAGGGTTTGGCTGGATTTGTAGCACGGCACGTGCACACTATCCACTGCGGCCGTCGCTCCCCACGCACCAGGTCTTGCCCTCTTCTCGCGCGGCCGATGTATATGCGGAGCAAACAACTGCACAAAATCGAATGCCAGGCAGGATCCGAGCGCATCGCCATGATGTCTCCCCGACCAGGTGAAGGCCCAGAAGGAGAAGCTCCAGAGCAAGGAGCTTCACCTGGAGATGCTGCGCAAAAAGGTGTCGCAGCTCGAGGAGGAGCGAGGCACGAGGACGGCGCTGGCCGTCGAGCGCGACGACGCCAACGCCGCGCTGCACAAACTGCACCGGCGCTCCGAGCGCCTGCAGCAGCAGCTGGACGCTGCGCGCACCGCCAACACGGAGCTCAAGGCCCAGCTGGCAGACGCGCACGGCCTCAAGGTGAGCAGTGGAGGGAGGGCTGGCGCAGTGCTAGCGACTGTAACCTCTGAGCGAGAGGTATCTGGGTTCGATTCCTGACTCGGGCGCCACCTTTTCACGTGGGGTTTGTATGTCCTCCCAACCTCCCCTTCATTTGTTCTGCAGAGTGTGACTGTGTGAGAGTGTGTGAATGGGAAGCCGTAGTAGTGTTTATGGGGAGCAGGAATCTACCCGAGTTCGATTCCCGCTCATGGCCAACACCAGTGACGATTATGTGAACCGGTCCTGGGCCTCCCCTCGGTCGATTCAGCCTCAAATGAGTACCTGGTGTGGTGTGTAAACATCGCCACTGGGGAGACAAAGGCGGTCAGGCGTGGTGCTGGCCACTCACCCCCTCGTGTACCGTGCCTGCCTTCATAGGTTACTTGCCCCAACAATCTGTAAATGCTACATGGGGGATCTTTGTTCTCCTTCTGTTCTGCATGGGTGACCTCCACGTTCTCACGTTTTACTCCCAAAGCTAAAAACTTGCAATGTTATGTAATTGGTGTTTGCCAAACATCCAAATGCAGGACCCTCCTGAAAAGCAAGAGTTTCCAGACTTTTTCCTGGGGGAATAAGTACAATATGGGGTGGGGGGGGTCAATAAATACATTTACAATATAGCAGGCCTGCCACCTCTCAGCTCACGGCCCACAAGTCAGATATGGCCCACAACTTCATGTCACACAGCCCATGGCCACATTAGTTCCACCACTTCGAAACAGCCCACAATGTGATGTACTTATCCCTTTCTTCGCGAAGAGATCTTTGGGTGGTCCCGCGCATTTGTTCGGCACGCCGTCTGACGCCATTACCAGCCCGGTAACAACGCCGGAGAGCCATAACGGCACAAGCCCGCGAAATTTTTTCCGCTTTCGTGTCAGCGCCGTCATGCCACAATGCCACTCGCGGGCTGTGCCATTTCTCACAGTGCCACCCCTTTTTGGCGCGATAACGTCGTTGTGCTCAGCTCGCTGCTTTGCCGCGGCAGCCACCGCTACCTGTGGAATGCGACTATCGCCACTGCTCCGCGTGTCCACGTTAATTGAGGGCTTTATTTTTATATCTAAAGCTTTCGTGACTGCAGGGATTCATCTTCTTGGTTCTTTCGGTAAAGTCACGTAGAAGGGAAATAATAAAATAATAAAAATAAAACATAGTTATAATGTTTTATTTTTATTATTTTATTATTAAATTATTAAAAATAAAACATAATTATTATGTTGTATTTTTGTTATTTTATTACTTCCCTTCTACGTGAATTTACCGAAAGAACCAAGAAGATTTATTTTTCTATTTGAGTGGGGTTTTCTCTTTTACCTCTTCTCGTCTTTTCCCACAATTGTATCCCAATTGTGCGTTCGGCATTGTGCCATGGGGTTGACGTTCAGATCCTGTCGTAGAGCAGCGCAACCCTCGCTCAGCGATGGAACAGCTGACGGAAGCGGATATCGCCGAGACAACTTCTGAGATTCCTCGCCACGTGCATCGCAATAATACACACAACTCATTCATTGGCTGAAAACATCTTAAAATAATAACACCCAAAGAGTCCTACGACTCAGTGTGGCTCTCCTGGATAAATAAGTACGAAATCGTTTTTTTTTTATATATTCGTAGCCAGTCCGAAAGCATGAACCCGCGGGTGGTTGAAGCCAGGATTTGAATTCAGGCTCAGCGCTCTGACCTCCGATCCACCCGGCTGCTTTGTCCCCGTGTTTTTATGACGTTTCTTTCTTTTTTTTTTCCACAAACCGTTGAGGCAAAATAATTGCATACAAATTCAATGTGTTCACTGCCATGTGCAAGCGGGCTGGCTGGTTTGTGTTCTGAGTCACGGCAGCTCATTAACGGATCTAAACATCGTATGTGCATGGCCAAAAATACACGTGTCATTTGAATGAGGCAGGAGGAACACCATTGTGATTTTGTGGTTGACAGATATAGGCCCATACAAGGTCGGTCGAGCATAATGGTTGTAAACTCCTGCCAACATAATGTACTGGCGGATAAAGTGGAATTCACATCGCAATGGAGCTCTCAGGTCAACCCAGTGTTTGTAGACATGGCCTGGATTATTTTGTTCCACCGCTTACAATTCGACCGCATACACTTAGACTGCATACAACACAAATCCATTATCAGAGCCGCACGTAATGGTCGATCAGAAGGGGAAAAAAACTAATAATTCATCACTGCGTTTGTTGATGCCCTTGTACACGTGGATTTGGAAAACAGAATAACACAAAGCAGCTCGGTGCACTTTTTTTTCAAAGGCACAACCGTCGGGCACAGGCCCCAAAGCACCCAATAAGTCAAACGGCACTGTCAGAGTGGACATTGATAAGAGTGTAACGCCTTTCTTGACTTGAGCAAGGTTATTATCGTGAGAGACGACGGTGGGAGGAGGGGATTAAAAATGAAGCACTGTGAGGGAAGAAGCAGGAAGAAGCAGGAAGATAAGTGTTATGACCTGCAGTGTGGCGAGTAGGGTGAGTGGCTATGTTGTTCTGACTTGCAGTGTGGTGAGTGGGTGAGTGAGTGGGTGAGTGAGTGGGTGAGTGGGTGGGTGGGTGAGTGGGTATGTTGTTCTGACCTGCAGTGTGGTGAGTGGCTGAGTGGGTGGGTGAGTGGGTATGTTGTTCTGACCTGCAGTGTGGTGAGTGGCTGAGTGTGTGGGTGGGTGGGTGAGTGGGTATGTTGTTTTGACCTGCAGTGTGGCGAGTGGGTGAGTGGCTGAGTGAGTGGGTGGGTGTGTGGCTATGTTGTTCTGACCTGCAATGTAGTGAGTGGGCGAGTATGTTGTTCTGACCTGCAGTGTGGTGAGTGGGTGAGTATGTTGTTGTGACCTGCAGTTTGGTGGTTGAACAAAGTGTGGGATGAGACAAAATAATCAATCGAAGTCACGCGGAAAATGGAACACGCTTTCACAAGATGCTTTGCGTTTTATGATATTTGTTATCCATAAAATGGCAAATGAAAGAGTAGAAGACAGTACAGTATAGTAAATGTGATGCTGATCTCTTTGTGCAGGGTCTGAGTCTCATCCGCTACGTATGCATGAGTTGTCTCCACGCTCTCCAGTTTCTCCCTTATACATAAATGCCCATAAATGAAATCAGAGGTCAATCATGCCAAATACGTACTTTGCTGAGACTCCCGAAAACAAAGATGGAAAGCATTATAATAAAAGTGACTCGACTTGGAAGGGACTTAAAGAGTTTATTTGACAGAAAGATCGTTACACTCAGTTGGAATATTATCTACCATAGAGCTGATGCTTACAGATGCTCGTAACGATAGGAAATATTCCGAGCCTGTACTAAGGAGCTGTCAAGAGCTCGCAGGAGCAGGCACAGGTTTAATGATATTTTTCTGTGGACACGATAAGGCGCCACGGTGGCGAGATGTTAACTACCTTGCCTGGTATACAGGAGGTCATGGGTAGGATCCCGACCCTGATGTCTGTATGTATTTGGAGTTTGCATGTTCTCCCCGTGGTCGTGAGTGGTTTTTTCTGGGTCCTCTGGTTTTTCCTTCCACATTTATAAACATTCTTTTAGAGTATTTGGCTGCAATACATTTCCATGTGATAAGCCACTTCATTTGTGACCAGGTTGCTTCTGAAAAATAGACTGTATAGCTTAATGGGCCTTACCTGATAAAATAAACAAGTTAATTTGATAGTTTAGTTTTCTAATTTCGCTAACGTCAGCAACCTGTGTTGAGGATTGAGTTTACCACTGCGCCAATGATGAACCGCGCACACGACCCACAACCTTTTCGCTCGGTTCCAAACGTACCACGACTGACGTGTGTTCCGTTGTTCCGTCAACTTTTCCCCGCCCTCCCCTTTGCCATCAAGATACAAACGCTGGAGCAGAACAAGACGATCGCGGAGATGGGACGCTCGATAGACCGCCTGGAGAAGGTGAAGGACAAGGCGTCGCGGAAGGTGGCGTCGTTGCGAGGGCAGCTGGACATGACGGCGGAGGGCGCCCAGGAGGAGATGGAGCGGACACGCGTCCTCCTGGAGGCCACCACGGGAGAGCTACGCACAGTCAAGCGCGCCCTTGAGGAGGTGGCGCGTCGCGAGAAGCAGGTGAATGTGTTTATTGTTAATTGTTTTTTTGCCCTTCTATCTGGCAAACAAAACTGACACCTTTTTTACAAGGAGTCATGTTTGCACAGACCACAATACCTGCAGTCATAATGCAAACAAAAAACATAACTCCGTATGCACTGTCCTTGAAGTTGATTGGTCCACACCCGAGACAGCTTTCCTTAGAGCCTAGTCTCACATGGGTTGGACCAGATGATGCCAAAAGGCGCACAACTCAAAGACTGCAGGTATTGTGGTCTATGCAAACATGACTCCTTGTAAAAAAGGTGTCAGTTTTGTTGCCAGATAGAAGGGTAAAAAAACAATTATCATATTTTTGACTGGCAAATGAGGTTCCAATGGTGTTTATTGTTGTCGTCACTTTTGCGCTTTACCTAACTGAGGGTTAGGAGGTCGGGGGTGACCCTCGTCAGGACTCGTCTCACCACGTGAATGAAACCACGTGAATGAAACTTGAGAAGAAAGTGTTGTTGTTGTTGTTGGGGAGTTTCCCCTGTTTGAATACCGGTTAAGCCAACCCCACTTAAACCCACTCCCAGGTAGCCCCACCCCCCGTTTGTAAAGTGGTATCGCCGAACCTCACAATAATACTATCCAGGGCCTCCCTTGGCTCCTCCCACCCTCAACCAGTATATATACAAAGACTGTTTTCTTGGAATTTCTCTTACTTGATACAGCTATCGTGCTGTGACGGTTCCACCTCAAGACGGAAGCTTGTGTTGCCTCCGAAACGTCGTGATTTTTATTTTATTTTTATTTTACTTTTATTAATTACATTTTTTACCTACGTGACTTTACCGAAAAAAACCCTAAGAATATGGTGGCGCCATGATAACGAAACACAAAAAATACACGGCCTAACACTGAATGGGCATGAGGGTTAACCATGCAGAATAATAACAGCTAAACTAAACTCTAGTCTTACCCCTAAGCTTAGCAAACTAGCAACCAGCCCCTAGTACTAACTCTCCTACTAACCCAATAAAATGAGCCAATCAGTCAAAAGCACTAGCCTTATCCCTAGCTGACTGACCAATCAGCCACGAGCAGAGTACTAATTTGACCTATGACCCAAAAAGACGAACCGAGCATTCACTTGTACTAGCTCTACCTATAACCCATAACCCGAACCAACCTGTCTGCAAGCCCACTTCAAACCTAACATCCCCTTGGGCGTTTTGCCAGGGCCCTCGATTACTTCGTATTTTTTGTTCGTGCTCCACATTTGGTGTGAGCAGCACCATCCCTGCATGTGTAGTAGAGGGTCCCTTAATAGTTATTTTGATTAAAGTATTGATATGAATCATCAGGGATGGGGGTGTGGGTCTCAACAGCTGTACAATAATCACTTCAACGAGTCAATCACGCTGCCCATTGAACCCAATTAGCCGTCTGCAAGGATCTAAGCCCACATAACGAATGTGGAAATTAAACTAACAAGTCATTTAAAAAGACACTTTAAAGAGCCTTGCCTCAGAGAGATTCAGAGTTTGGATGTGCAAGTTGTCTCATCGCGGGAGATGTTGAAACTGTAACATTGGGTTTGTGACGTGGGCAGCATTAGGTACGCGATTTCCAATAGCAGCTTCGCGGCACCAGGTTTCAAAACATGTTTTTAGCAGTTCGGCGAGCTGAGCTGGCACTGCTGAGTTCCTGCGTTCGAAGCCAAGCAGCTGCCTGTGATTTTAAACCGGGTCCTTGAGTGTAGTTATTGATGGTCTCAGACCGGTACACGAAATTACTGCACGCGAAAAAATAATCCATCACGTTGGATTTGGTTCTGCACGTAAATTTGCTAAATCCCTGCTCCTGAGAATTAAAATATTTGGTTTGACTGCCACGTGACGAGCGATACTCTCGTACGCAGAGCGGTGTGGCAAAGCGCTACCCTCTACTGCAGGGGTCGGGAACCTTTTTGACTGGGAGAGCCATAAAAGCCAAATATTTCTAAATATATTTCATTGAGAGCCATATAGTATTTTTTACGTATAATAAATTAAATATGTCTTACTTTTAATGCGACTTCTGGTGCTGCATGGATTTGCTGATGGCCTTGTAGTCTGGTTCATACGACTTGGTGAGGTTGAGCTTCATGCAGGCGTGACCCGTGAAATTTATCTTCAAAACTAATTTCTGTTTACTTTAAAATGACACAGTATTATTAAGCAATATCACAAGTATTTTAAAATCAGTTCCAAACTGATTTTTTACTATTATTTTTTTTTTCAACTCAAAATTGTCTGGGAGCCATATGCCGTCACTGGAAGAGCCATATATGGCTCGCGAACCATAGGTTCCCGACCGCTGCTCTACTGCGTGGACCTCTGCTTTCCATGGGCCATTCTTCAACACGGAGGGTTGCACTGCTCTAGGAGACATCCGAATGAAATTCTTTGTGACGTGATGGCGATCGCGCGGTCGGGATCGTGACAAACAAACAAAGACTTTTTTTGACGCGATGATGAAAATGTAAAAGGTCATAAAAAGATTGATCTTTACACGGAGCGTGTTATTTTCCAAAGCCTGCCACCCTCGTACGAAGCGTGATCCGCTTCATGGTAAATTATTCCCATTGCTGGACGTTATGTGGAAGAGCCTCAGGTTGTGGGGGTGTTTAGTTTGTGAAGGACCATGTTTATAATTGGTGAATTCCATCCTTTTAACCCCAGGGAAATTGCAACATTCTCAACGAGGACACTTTCACCGTTTGAAAGTGTGCGGATTAACGATAGCGATGAACTGACTGCACAAAGTGACAGGACTTCTCGACGAAGCCTGAAAAGTAGGGCTTAATGCAATTACGAGCAACATCTCGATTCAAGAGCACCAAATTCGCCAGACAAGTGATGACGCCTGTCGAAAATAAGCAGTTTGAAAACACTTGAGAGTTTGTGTATCTAGAGCAGTTATATAAGACCGCCCGCAGTCGTAGTTATAACATCGATAGGCGGGCGAGAGCAGGTCGTGGTGCCTTTGAAAGACTGAACTTGGTAACGAAAAACAACATCACAAAGCCTCTCCCATCACCTTCCGTCCAGCGGCACACATGGGAACAACTGAGACTTTTTTTTTTGTAACAACTGCAATGTCGTGTTATCCGTTTAAGTCTAATAAACGAACCGATATATTTGGGAAATTAATCGATTACTAAACCCATTGGAGAGCCCAATATGAATAATTCATAATACTTTCAGCTCTTGACAGTTTGATTTGTTGCGGACGGATGTTTATTTACGCTTGAATTGATCAAATTCAATCTCCCACTGTATGTTCTACTGTGGCGCCTTCTTCGCATGTCACCGCGAGAGCCCACATTTTTATCCAGGAGAACTCCTCTTACCCGTGGCCCTATTATCTGCAACTTCTATTATTCCCGACAGCTGTAGAGTCTGCGAAAACTCATTATCTGTGGGCCCTATTCCTCCTGTTCTCCGTGTCTTTTCCTATGAGTCTGTGGAACGCCACCCTATCATCCACATTTGTTTCATGAATTAAAGAAGTCGATCCTCCGATCGTCCGTGGGGTTATCTGCAATTGTTTTACCCAGTCGAGTTAAATTGCGGATACCCTCCCTCCACATCACCGTGGATAACAGCAGCGCTTCTGGGAGTGTAAATAATGAGCAACTAAATTGTACATCAAATGTCCGGCATGCAAGCAACAATGGACTCGTGTCTGATTAAGTTGACGCAAGCACTTCAATTGAGCCGAGGTTTGCTGCGTCCTCTTGACATCGTGAAAGAGGAGAGCCCAGGGTACAGCAAACACTGCAGACGGTACAAAATTAGCATCTAATGCGACGATGGCATCACACAACAACAATAAACACGACGGCTTCAAACGCATCACCAAGCAACTGGCACAAACTTGGTCAAGCGACGTGGGAGGGGGGGGGGTAAACACATTTATTTACACAGCACAGTCCTCGATCCGTTGGAAATTTGTCCGTTTTTTTTGTTGAGCCCCGATCACTTAAACTGCACTGACAAGGGATGGCAGCACATGGTTCCTTCTGGCTCTACTATTTTGTCTCCTGTCCATCTGGCGGACGGTCGACTTCAAGAAACGTAGTGAAGCCGTAGTCAGCCTTGCAGGGTGATGGGGGGGGGGCACAACACAGTCAATGCTAAACAAACGTTAAGCAATTCTGAAGGGAATGAGTAATGCTATTTCAGTATGTTGAACTCCTTTCACACCGTGCATTCTGCTCTGGCTCTTACCCCCACCCTACCGCAACTAGAATCAAATACTGTACCAACATCTTTTGACTTTATGAATAATTTAGAAGAGGGGGGGGGCTGACTCTTCACTCTTTAGCCCCCCCCCCCTGTTCTAAGATCCCCGAGTAGTACCCACCCCCCTCTGCCCCCCACCCCTCTGCCGACGCTACAGGGCTGTTTGTCATGTTTCTTTCATCTATGTTCCCCTCCCATTCCACGCACTTACAAGTCCTCCGGCCCACATTAGGGCTGCCACTCTTGATTTCAACAAAATTCACCTACTCCAGCCGCTCAGCGACTCGGGCAATAGTTGCCGTACCCGGCATACCGCATTCAGTATGCCTCCGGCGCCTTTCTCTTTTCCCAACGCACCAGGTACACATTTAAGGCTGAATTGACATAGGGGAGCCCCAGGACTTGTTAAAATATCCGCCACTGTTATTGGTGGACACACATACACACACGCAAAGACAAAATAAACAAAGATCCGCCATATAGCCTTAAAAAGACTTTTGGGGCAAGTGCTGTTAGTGAGCACCTATGAAGGCCGGCACTGTGGCGCACGAGTGAGTGGGTGGCCAGCATCACGCCGACACGCATACACGGACATACACACCGGCACACACAGACACGGAGAGGCACCAGCAACCCGCAGTGCGTTCGTTGAGAAACCGAGCCCTGGCAGAGAGGCGGAGAGACGACGCGTAAAAACCGACGATTGCGCGTTCCTCACCGCGTCGTCTCACCCCGTCCCGCCATTATCGCCCCTCGTGCAGCTGCTGGACTTCCGCGAGGTGGTGGGCCGCACGCTGGGCCTGGACGTGGCCTCGTTGGCCGTGCCGGACTACGAGGTGGTGGCGCGACTGGAGCGCCTCGTCCGCGCGCAGCACGCCAGCGTGGCCACGGCGGCGGCGCTCGACGGCTCCCTGGAGCGGCTGCACGGCGGCTTCCGCGCCGGCTACCGTGGCCAGCGGCATGAGCCGCGCGCGCGCTCCGTGTCGCCCGTGCGCGCTTACGGCTCCGTTGACGCCGACAGGTTTTGACGTGGGGCCGGAGTCACCGCCACCGCCGCCGTCACCACCGCGGTGGGAGGTGGTGGGGGTTGCGCTGCGCTAGGCAGTCGAGGGGGGTAGATCTGCATCAATCGGTCAGGATAAGGGTTGGCATTTGTAGGCCTTCGCCAACTAAAAGTGCCTTACGTTACGTCTCGTCTCAGCCATTCCATTGCCCTGCTGCAGTCTAGCCAAGGGGAGCCCATATGGCAGCTGTCCCTGTGAGGCACCAGGTATGTGCAGCAACGGCCTGCAAGTGGACATAGGCTGGCAGTAGAGGGTTAATTTACTACGTGGGTCTTCACAATTGCAAATAATTGATCAAATTCGGATAATTTGGGCCGTGTCGTTGGCACACATTGCACTCTTTTCAGATAAAGTCTCAGGATCGTGAACGCCCACTGCAGCCATGGCCCATGTTTATCGTTAATGCAACCGCAATATTTACCAAGGTGGCCGCGGGGCTCTAACCGCGAACAATTGCAAAAAGCTGGCAAACTCGCTAGGACTCGTCGGTGAGCTCGCATTTCTGTTCACGCCCCCCCCCCCCTACTATTTCTGCTCTTCACCCCCCACAACCTGATTCCCACACGAAGTCGTGCCACACACCCGATAGCCATGCCTCTAGCCGTGTGGCAGCACAGGATGGAACGAGAGTGGCGCTCGCGTATTCCTTTACAACAACAAAAATGTTGAATCGCTGTAAAAGCCTTCGGCGTGTGGCAGTCCGTATGAGCGCACATCACACGGGCATTAGCAATGAGCCATGTAGTTTTACACTCACACGGGATGGTTTACCGCTCTGTGCCTTCCACTCGCCGTACGAAGAACCTACCTCTTGTTGCGTGTACACAAGGCCCAACGCACCAGGCGGCCACAAGCGTGCGGCGCCATTGAAGGCGGAACGGATAATGGTTCGCACGTGGCTCGACTTGAGTAGGGTCGTTTCAATTTCATTTCCATTTATTAGGTACAACGCTGTGAGCCATGCGGCTCTTGACTCGGGTGCAACCGCAACAAAACAAAAAACATGAACAAGAAACATCATATAGTGACTACACGCAACAGAAAAATCCAGGAAAAAACAGCAAAGTCTTCCGTAAGGGCTTGGGAAAAGAGACGGTGGGATTCCAGTGCGGAGCGGTGCGAGGACAGAAACAGAATGAGAGATGTATTGGGTGCAGTTCCAGTGACGAAACACAAATTGGTTTGGTGATGCTGCATTGGCAGCAGTGCACAAGCACAATTAAACAACAAATTCAACACACTCCTCAATGACACTGCCTGAAAATAAAAAAATATATACACATGCAATCGGTGACATTTTAGGCATTGGTCCCTTTTTTCTCTGTGCTATGAAGAAGGCCCATTGTCCAAAAGATGTGCCGATTACATCCAGTATATATATTTCTGTCTTTCAAGGTAGTAATTTTGTATCATTGTGTTGAGTTTGGCGTAACGCAGCCAGGATGAGATGAAAGCCTCAGTCTGGTAGAACGAGCCCATTGACGAGGGTGCAGGAATAAACGGAGTGATGTTCACGTGAACAGTAGCCATGGTGAGCGGCGGTAGAAAAGTGATAGGGAGGCGATTGACTGCCCGGGTTGAGGGAGCGAGTGGCTGGAGTGAATCAGTGAGTGCCAGATCATCAGTCAACGCTGCCTGCTCTACCACCGAATTCTATAGAGTAGAGTGAGATAGCAACTCCGTGCTCCGCCCCATGAATAAATCATTACATGCACGTAGCCTGCAGCGCTGTGTTTTGGGACGTTACGGAAACGTATTACCTGCCTAACGCCCAGAGTACTAAGAGATGCATCAGTCGTAGGCACCAAAGGAAATGGTTTTATTCTTTGGTTCTTTCGGTAAAGTCACGTATAAAGAAAAAATAATAAATTAAATAATAACATACGACGTTTCGATTGCAACACAAGCAATCATCATCAGGTATAATAAAATTTGAAAATTTCACACTTAAATTCTAACTTAGCAATGTTTGAAATACGTAATCGACCAGGCTATGCGTTAATTGTGTGTTGACCGACTTTCTGTGTCGTTTTACATAACATTTCGATACTTTGCTAGGTTATTTAATTTTAGTGTGTCTCTTTCTCCCCCTAAGCCTGCTCACTCCTTTTTGTTGCACTCATTGACATGTAAATTTTGTCTCTAACCCCTCCCTCTCGCTGCCTCCGCCCCCCTCTGTCTATTTAAGGCCACCCCACAGAGACGATCACCCCTCTCTGTACCTGTGTTGCCCGCTGTGTGTATCTTGGTGATATCTGTCTGCTTATATGTCTGTCTATAATTTTTTCTGGTTAGATTTTATGTCGCTATTTTATTATACCTGATGATGATTGCTTGTGTTGCAATCGAAACGTTGTATGTTATTATTTAATTTATTATTTTTTCTTTATACGTGACTTTACCGAAAGAACCAAAGAATAATTCCTGCAGTCACGAAAGCTCCAAAGTTAAGGAAATGGTTTCCCTAAAATTCATGGTAGAAAGTGGCGGGCATATCATCATCATCATCATTTGTTACACCTGTGTTTGCAACGGTAACCTTTATAAAGCAACGCAGCTGCTTCAGAAATCTGTGGAACATCCGTTGACCCGCGTATCAATTTGAATTTTCCGCAGGCTGTTCTCGTCAGTAAGACATCCAGTAATGGCATACGCATGCAATTGGGATACGTTTTCAACATTGAATGGAGATAGTCTATTGAAATGGCATTTTTCAGGAATTAAAAAGGTACATTTTATATTGTTTAATGTTGCCTTTGCTCTGACTATATAGTACTGGCGTTTGTTGTGATAATATACCATTTGCGTAAATCTGCCAAAAAAATACAGAAAATACCTTTTGCAGGACGAATATTGTTTGCCCGTGTGGCACAGGATAAATATAGTTCGAAGGTCACGGTTATGGTTTTTTCCCTTGCGTTACGATTTTCGAGGCTACGATTACCTGTTAGGCAGCCATGGCAACCAGCAGTATGCAGTGTTTTTTTGTAAAAAGTCATCTGAATTTCACGAGCTGCACTGTCTCAGAATTCACTGTGGAAAAATCTCTGCATCGGTCAACACGTAAGGTAGCTTGTCCTAATAAACCAAACAAAAACTAAACTATTTTTTATTTTATCATGTAAGGCCCAATGAGCTATTTCACTCTTTATCAGAAGCAACCTGGCCAAAAAAGATAGCTCAAAGAGGTGGCATATCATCAAGTGGACATTTATTGCAGCCAAATACTCTAAACACGCGTTTCTAAATGCAGAGGGGAAAAACCGGAGGACCCGGAGGAAAATCCACTCGACCACAGGAAGCAACATACAAACTCCAAATATACAGCGTCGAGATCGAACCCACAATCTCCCGTATACCAGGCGAGGTAGTTAACATCTCGACACCGCTGCGACGTTTTACGAGTGCAGGAAATTCGCCAGCTAGAGAGCCCCGACGTATTAGTTCGCAATAATGCAATTCTACTTGTACCCGTGGACCGTTTAGAATTCCGCAAATCAGATTATAATAGACATGCATCAAAGCTTTTAGAGTCGGGGGCAGAAAAATAATACGTGACCGTTCGAACCGTAAATCTTCATTTGTTTTCAGCCACGATCAATCAACTGCTGGATGAATCCACCTCCGATTAGCACGGTTGGCTATGCACAGTGCGAAAGAAGTTCAACAAAGCACACAGCCGTTGAAATCCTGCGATTTAATAATCCACCTAGTCAACTGTACGTGATGTGATTTCATTGCTCCATCATTCTTGGTGTGGAATGTCCCTCTGAAACACGTTCCGTTTCCTTCTGCAGCCACTTTCTCACCGTCCCATTCACCGCCGACCACTGTTCCTTGTTGAATAAATACTTTTAGACAGCGTTGGCGGCGATCGTTGCCCGTGCAGTTGCTGTCATTTGTAAAAAAATGAAATGTGGTCGCTGTTAGGTGCCTGTGAATTGCGCACACAAATTCACTTCACCTCGGAAGTTTCTATCTCGTGTGAAGTTCCCTGGAGAAATCCCCCGCCCCCCCCCCCCGTAGCAACTCCAATTATCACCGCGGCCAGGAAAATTAGAAAACACATCCCTCTTAATTATTCGCATCGCATTGTTCATGGCGTACAAAACTAAAATGGGATCGCATGTGGTTTCGCCAAAAGATTGGATAAAAAACACAATTTAATTTGCAGATGTGTTCAAAGGTGTGAGTCAATCGACCAAGGTAAGACGTTCTATAAAAATAACAGTCGTGAAAAGCTTTTATTTTATTATTTCTAATAACATTGTATGACCTTATTCATATTATTATTATTTTCTGAAGGTGAAAAACAACACGTTTCCGTGTTGCAGGGGAAGCTGCGATCTTGTCATGGTTCGCAGTCCACTGGCCTGGCAATCCAGAGCTCGTCGGTTCGATTCCATCTCTCGGCGCGGAAGTTGAAGCAATGGGGCAGGTTTCTCAAATCCTCTCCCCCCTACCCCCCTTTCCGTGTACATCACAGTCGATTGGCAGCATGGAAGAGGTCAAATGCCCTCTAGAGGAGGGCTCTCGAGAGCTCCCTCTAGCGGAGGTAATTGTATCCTTCTCTCAAGTCGATCTTTAACAGTTGACTTACAACAAATGTCAATAATAAAAATGGCAAAAATATAATGCGCAAACATCAACGACTCTCAAACGTCTCTAAGCCACTTGTTTACGTGTTTTTGTTTAAATTCTCAGACATTAACACTATCCAAATAAGGCGATAAGCCGGTATTATTCAACTTTAACGGAAATAATAAAAACACGTTCTGCTCGCAAAGGCCTCGGCTTACGTGATGGCATAATACAAAACGCAGAAAGGTCACCCCAATAACATAACCGTTACATTTGTTATATAATTTAAGGGTCACAAGGAATGACCCATGTTAGATGTGAGACTGTCTGGGGACACCATGTCCTGTCGGCTGTGGCTGGGAGGTGGATTCGCAGACTGGCTTCTCAATGATCTCTGGTTTCCTCCCACACGCCACTCATTTATTGACTTGGCCGCACATCCCAATGTAGCAGGGACCTCCGATTAGCACGGTTGGCTGCGTACGGTGCGAAAGAAGTTGAACTGCGTACGTACAGGACCTGAATAAAGAGCCGTGTGACTCGGTGTGGCTCTTAGATGGCATTTTATACGTCATTGTAAACTGCAGTTTCAACGAAATGTGGGCCTGGCGTCTACATACAGCCATTACCCAGCCCTCTGGCTACAACGACGAGAGCCATGTTATTTTTACTTAATTATCACAATTACATTTTTAAATAATACAACTTGTTGCTTTTTCTAATGTGATCACTAAGGGTTGTTGTGCCTGTTATTATTCATTGTTTGCAAGCATATAATTGTAATTTGATGTTGTGTACAAGTGAAAAATTTGCATTTTATTAATTAGGTTTTGTATGATTATCATCATGAAATTGTCCAGGTGATGTGTTTTTCTTGTACAAAATCTTCCGTTTTCTGTCAGTTTTGAAATGGAAATTGATTGACGGTACGGTAATGCGTCTTGAAGTGGTGTCACGACGCATTTCAATTTGCATACTCATCAGTCATTCTGACAGCAGCGAAGGGAAACAACGTTTATGCACTTAAGGAGCTGTCTGAAATAAAACATCTCTTGGGAATAGCTGACGTCGCCTGCGATCGCTTCGACTGTTGTGCGTAGGTTGAGCAGCGGCGAAGGCGATCAGTTGCATCCCGCTTTTCAGGGCCCGAGGGCAGACTCCAAAAGGCTCTTGCAAGCCCCGGGGGCAGACTCCTTCATCGTCGGGGTTGTTCAATGCAAACATTGCTCAGCTGGTGCTGTCCCTCTCCCGCCCCATCCGATCCGCAAGGAGAGACGTTGGGTTATAGCAATGTTTTGGTAAATGGATGCAAGTCACAGTACTCTTGAGACTAGAGAAGCATTGGAGGTGGGGGGGTGGGGAAAGCGAAATAAATGGCCGTGAATTGCGTGCCCCGATTCTAAAGTCGGTATCTTATCGGATGAATTCGCTGGCGCGTTTAGACTTTCTTGATGAGGTTACCCGGTGCAATAATGGCAGTGGCTCAGGGGCTGGGAAAACTTCTTGTCGGATTTCCAAAGACTGGCGTGCTGACGAAATCAATTCTAAATCGTGGCTGATATTCTTTAATATTCAAACCGGTGGTTTCCTGCAGTTTCCTTTGAAAACGTCTCAGAAACGAACGAAATTACTTACGCCTTATTGAACTTCGTATACATATTCCGGTTCACGTTCTCCGTGAGAGCTGTACCTTTTTAAAGCTGTTGCTGTGTGCAACGTAGTCGGTTTTTTATTTAATAATTGATCATAAAGCAAACTAATTTCTACACTAAAAACAAGTATAACCCGTAAAAACAAAGTTTTTAACTATAAATCCTTTATATGCGTGGCGGCTAGAGTCCTCTCGTCCTCTGGCTTGATATGGCTGCCACCTATGGGTCAGATGATTGCATTGCACCATTAAGCAATTGGTAATTAAATATATTTTTGTCCTAAAAAGTGTAAAATTTTGGAAAAAAATATTTTTCACGAACATTAATTGTCTCGCACAACGAGTCTGTGTGCAAAATGTCAGCTCGATTGGATCACGGGAAGTGGGTTAAAAAACGACCGAAAGATTTGCACGGTCGCAAGCAAGCAAGCACGCAAGCACGCAAGCAAGCGAACTTAATATAAAGGATTTAATAACAGGTTTTCACCGTCGCTTAGCAGGAAATGAAGATCTCAGCGTTTCAGTTAACGGATTTCTTCTTATTGGCAGTGAAAAGGCCTGTTTTTACTTTTCATTGTATATTTGGAGTTTGTGTCTCTCTCTCTCCATGGTCGCGTGGATTTTTCTCCTGGGCCCTCCGCTTTTTCTCTCCACATTTAGAATCGACATGCGTTCAGAGTTATTTTTGCCTGCT